CATAACGATTTGATATATAAAAACCATTTAGTATCGTCACTGATGATTCACAAGCTAATGATTCAGCTCGTTTGCTCTGCGGGTTGTCAGTACTTACCTTTTAGTAAACTGATACATATGTTGATGTTACTTCAAGTCCATCATTGCATTTATTCGGATCAATGCTTTAATTATTATATACAATTGACTTCCGGTACCTGCTGTACGTCGCAACGAAACGTTTTAATCGTATTTCATAAATATCGGAGCATGCGAACAAATTGTATACATATCTACGTGACCACAGGAGTTATTAATGGACCACGCGAACAAGAGTCTATTAGTCAAATAGCAGTTTCCGACTTGCTGTAAGCGTGAGTCGATGATAAATTTGAATGTACTATTAAAGTTATGTGTGCTACGTGTTTTAAAAGCATCTTGTAAAAACGCCAATGCCAAACAAATTGGGGTTATTTAGAAAACAATATGCGCGCATCTTAACAGGGTATGGGGGTAAACACTGCTATGGAAGTGATGCACATACTATGTGCTCAAACACAATCTGATTTAGAAATGCAGTAATAATCAGCCGTTGTGGTAAATAAATACCGTCGTCAATAACAAATACAGGGCTACATTACATTTGTCCAAATATATTTTAACATCTACACCGCCTAATTTATATCTGTAAATCACCAATATATATCTACTACTATTTTTTGTGGAATTTCTTAATTGAATATTTGCAGTATTTTTATCCATCAATCTTCTAAATTAAGGTCAGATATTTGGGTATTTTTTCACATGTGAAACCGTTACGGTTGGTTGACACAACAGTAACACTATATAAAATACAGCGCCGTGTTCATAAAACAAATACCAGTGAATCAGTGTGAATTAGTTGAATGACAGTGTCATATACATTGAGGTCATTTCCGATGTATGTACATGGTATATCAAGCATGGTTGTCAATGCGTCATTACTCCGCGGGCTGCAATGCATGTTGGTCACCCCAGTTACATGCAATGATGCAGGTATTAATTAAGATGTTTGCGCATTTATTCGTGTCTGCCCCTTTTTTTATAGTATGTACAATATCACAATGAATTGAGCACGTCCTTATTATCACGTCCGGGCACGACACGATTCTCCACACTCCCTGACAACTAGCTGCGTGAACGTATGTGGTGCGTTCTTCTACGAAAATACGCTGTAGATAGACTCCTCACTGACGCAATATCAAATCGGAAATATTCTCCAAAACGTGTGTTCGGATTAATAAATT